ACACACACACACACACACACACACACACCCACACACACTCTCTCTCCCTCTCCCTCTCTCTCTCTCCCTCTCTCTCTCTCTCTCTCTGATTGAATACAGTTTCGTTTCTGGATTATTCAGCTGCCCTCAACAGTATGGAAACGTCAGCAGCTTCGCAAATATTACGTATTATACTGTATAATGAGGAGGTCAAATTTTATCATCGCCCACCGTTTAAAAAAAATCTAAACCTCTAGATTTTAACTCTAAGAAGCACATGATTTTTTAGTACAAAAGACATCTCTACGCAAACAACTACATAAAATGGAGGGAGGGGGGGGTCTAAGCTACAACATTTCACTCCTCACCCAACACTATCCTCCATTTAATTTTTAAAAATATTTTCAGATAAAAACTCGAGCCCAAAACGGTCATCAGCAATTGACCTGGAACACCCACGAGATAGGTCATCTCGCCTTGCCAGTGGCCGTGTCAGACTGAGGCCTTCAGAACTGGTTCGGTCTGAATCGGAGAGTGACGTGGATTCAGGTTGGAATGGGGCTATCACTTCACACTTTTCAATTATGCACTGACATGTTTTTGCCTTGCTTTATTTGTTTTCAACGTGCAGAATTGCAGAGTTATTGTTGAGTTACTGAGAAACACACCGACACTATTTTCATGGTGATTAATCAGAGCTGAAAGAAAAAAGAAAGCAAGACAGACAAACAGACGCAATGTATAGAGAGCGAAGAAGTCCCACAAAACTTGTGCTTTCCGTCCACCCCCCAACACAAATAGAAAGTAGCCTATCCCCTTCTACAACACTGATGGGCAAAATTCATCTCGATCATACATCAGTGACATAAACAAAAACATCAAAGTTTGTTTGAACAAAAGCTGAAAAATAGGACTTGATGAAACATAATATTTTCACTTTTTGTTACCATTAAAATATAATACTGTATTTTTAAAATGGAAATGGAGGCGAGAAAAGATCAAGGAATTGGAAGAAAGCCGTACACATGAGAATTTTCTTTCGCATTTGGATTAGATCTAGATCTAGATTACTGGGGAATGGGGGACTGAAAAAAGTTGTTATTTCTAGATTTTTATTATACAAACAATGTGCTCCTTCAACTGTTAGTGTTAGCACCCCCCCCAGTATTGGTATTGCTCTCTATCTTTCCTTCCACTCCCCAAGTCTCCAACCACCACTCTGTCTTCCCCCCCCCCTCCCCCTCTTTCCCTCACATTTGTTGTCGTCTCTGAATCGAAAATCAACACACAATAAATTTTTTTAAAGTGAAGTCACTTTTTAACGTTAACTTTAGCTTAATATTATAGGACATTGCCCCATGGCAACTTTTTAACCAATAGCCTAATAGTAGTTTGGCCTCTCTTGCAGTCTCCGAGACGGTAATCGAGGAAGTATCTCCGCTCCCCTCTCCTCGACGACGCCCAAATAAGGGGATCGGTTGGCCTTTCACTGTCATTTCACAAGTGATAGATGTTCCCTCGTTATCTGACGAATGGAAAGAACCGTGGGCCCGGTTCGTTCCCCGGATGCTGAAAGTGGGCCGCATTCTGATGACGATCTTCACGTACTTCTGCGTGATCTACGGCTCCCTCACCATCCTGGCAACGTGCGTGCACAGACAGATACAGTTCACCCCCTTCAATTTGAGCTTTGTCGTCAATGGCACTTTCGGTATCATACACCGCTACTAGAGACTGAAACTGGCGGAATTTGGAGCTCAATACTGTTGTTAGTTACATGAGAGAATTGTCTGAACTCTCTCAAGAAGAGCAAGCAAACTGCATTTTTAACGCATCTACCTTATCCTCAGTTCAAAAGTTTTCAATTTATATCACAGACAGAAAGATGAGATAATGTATCTAAACATGCCACAGGACCAAGGAGAATTGAAGTTTTGTTTAACAATTAAATAGGGAGAGCACGTGACACCTCATAGTTAAGAGAGTGAATGTTAATTTTTTTAATTGAATTTCTGGACTACCTGGATGCTCACCTGTTCCTGCTGTACAACTTTCGTCTTAATTCTCATTCTTCTCTTTTCCCATTTTGATGCAAGTATTAACTCTCTCACAGTCAATGTTTCAAAATGTGTTTGCGATCCACACATTCGTAAAAAATGAGTCTTGCCATGTTCGTCATCGGTGGACCCAAACCAGAAACATCGCAGAGGTCTCACAAGTCCGCAATGTGGGCCAAAGGTTGAGTTTGATAGACTGCGAATGTTGAATTTCTGCCGGATAATTAAAAGTAAGTTTTATGAATTCAGCTTGAAAATACCGAAGTGTCCCGTGACAATTAATAATAAAGTCTTGTTGAATAAAACACCAACCGTGTGCTTGTGATTTGTCAAATAACATCGTCAACACTGATTCACAATACAAATGTACTTATTACAGACTGCTTACTCATTTCGGTTTGTACAGTACATCAGGTGTTTAGTTTTGAATAGCTTGCCACGCCTTTAGTCAGCAGTGGATTCTACAGCAAAGTAAGAGTAAGAGCCATCATGGACCAACTTTATCGGAGTTCTATCACAGCGGCAACGTGGGCTATACAAAATACACGTTTTGAACTATTTGTTACAAGTTCTGGGGCCACCCATTCGTCTGCTTGAAATGCATCATAACCCGACTGCTATTTTTTTTTAGAAAACAACGTGATAAATCTGCTGCTTCTGGTCATTATATAATATTAATAATGACATCTATCTGTAATAACTGGGTTATTATAAAGTAGGCCTACTTGTCTTTCAGATCAAGAGTTCAGAATTACAGTAGTAACAGTTTCTGTTGGCTGTATTGTTATTGACATTTTGACAGGGGGTTTTTTTGTTTGCTTTTTAAGCATCCACTTGTTTCAAAAGTGGAATTGGAAATAGAGGGGAAGTGATATGATCCTGTTATCTGATACAGCCCACTTAATACAAAAGTTGTAACAAAGTGAAGTGTGAAAAATGAACATAACTTTTGAGTTCCAGAGCAAACTTCTGGCTGCTTACTGGTGTCTCCAGTGTGCATACTATTTTCTTCCCAAATCACAGAGACCCATTTATAATATGTATTATAATCCAGAGATCGGACACAGTACGCAATGCGCCCGCCACGGCCACTTCTTTGCGAGTAGGTAGACAAATACTTGACTGCCTTGGGTTCGAATTCCCATCTCAACACGATTGTTCGAGGATCCCCACTCCACTTTTTTCATCCCCCCCCCCCCCCCCACCCCCAGAAAAAAACTATTCCATTATATTTTGTAAGTTCTACTATAATATATTACGACATAGGATAAGCATAAATTTTTCACAATTGGAGAAAACTGCAGCAGGGGGCAGATCTTTATGTTGACATTGTGTCTCAGCGCAGCTGATGTTCAATTGGTAGCATCTTTTCGGCACAAGGTAAGATTCCAAATGTAGTACACGAAATTTTCTCGCATTTGTTATAAACTAACAATATTATATTTTAGCAATACGCTAGGCACGTAAAGAGCATTCTCGTCTACGGGTGCAGACGTTCATTGGCTCCGATGGCTTGCTCGCGGCTCATAATAATAGGGCCAACTACAATGTATTTGAATTATAAACCCTACAGACAAGTAAAAGTACGATACTTTAAAGTATTTTCGAGGTAGGTTGCTTAGACCCTACCTGTCAGCACCAATGGGCTGGGCGGAATACCGTATTCCAGCAGAGAATCTAAGATGAAAACACTCGATAAAATAACCATCCCTCCACGGAAATTGCACTCTTGTCTTTTGCGTGCAACAGCAAAAAGCAATTCCATTACACTACGGATGCAGGTGACCTACCAAAGGCACCTCCAACAATCCACACTCTTCATGTAAGTTAGAGGGCAGAGGAAACATTCTAATCAAATCAAAATATTATAATACATGTATTCTTGCTCGTTCTCTTTTCTGATTACATCTTCCTTTAAATTTGTCCCCACCCTCCCCCCTCTCAATTCCTCTCAAACAAACACACAACATGCGCGTTCACAAAAAGTAATATGCATGAACAAGAACACTTTCAAGTAAAAATTAGAGATCCATTTTATTACATTTGTGTAAAGATGTAAAACATCACCAGTTTTCCAGATTGGTTTACTTCCATCACTTGAATTTTTTTCCAATCACCTTTCTCTCTTAATGCCGACATACACATACACACTCATAATGCCCAATAAAACAGTTATATCTTACCTAACTTTGAAGTAAAAATTAAACTTCTCCAGACCTGCACATTAGCACCTTTTTTTTTTCGCTGCCGTTTTTCTCTCCACAAACACACATACAAACAGAAAAAGATTTGCTTTTGGGCAAACACACAGACATACATTCACTAAAGCACATCAGAGGAATCAAACATGAAACTATTGGTGGTATTTCATCAAATTATGATAAATACATAAGAGCATTCTGTACACACAGGTCCAAAGGAAGGGCATTGATATCATGGTCAAATTACTCCGCTTGAGACAAAGCTTAATGTGGGTAATGTAATTTCTTAAATAAGCCCTGTGTAACTTATGTAACAATCATCCAACCAGAGACACAATTCCAACACAACTGCAAACTATATAACCTGAATCACAACAATAGACAATTTGTGCATTTATTTACCAAAGCTCGCAACAGTGTATTACTTTTCAATAATAATGGAACGAATGTGATGATGAAAAGACCAATGAAGAAAAAATATGAAAAGACCAATGAAGAAAAAATGTGAAATGCACTGAGGAGTCTATCATTAAACAACATAATGTCTATTTTTCAGACTGTGAAAGAAAGCATGGACTTTTCATGGAAGTTGTCAGTTTGTATACATAGCAAGCAAACATGGATTCCTTCATTGAAATTATTGCACTCAAAATCAGTTTTTAAAAAATATATATATAAAAATTCGAAAACGATAGATCAGATTTGTATGCAGTTGTCTGAAAAAAATCACTCTTCAAATTTCAAGAGTTGTTCATTTGTATACATTAGGAAATAGATAAAAAGGCTGAGAGTAAATTAGTCTGGAGAGAAGGCATCTGCTTGTCAAGTATCAAATTCCACACCAAGTTCTTTTGGTAAAGTTTTAGACATGAACAGTGTAAAACTTACTATCTTACTTTTCTTTATCTGGTTTGATGATGGAATGAAGGGTTAAACATTAAGTCTTTTTGTATTAAGACGAACAACTATTAGGCTACATAATAAACAAAATTTGGCAACTGAAAGGCAAAGAAGATCAAGCTTGGCACTGCAAATAAATAAAAAATTAATTCAACCAAAACTAAAGAAAAAGGTCAGTATAAACAAACAACAAACATAAGAAATAAACGACATACAGCTGTCTGAAAAGGTATGTGGCATTTCATTTTAGTAGGGAAAAAGTGTCACAATGTGAAAATTACAGCTCTGTGGGTTAATTTGGTTAAAAAAAACTATTGTAAACTACCTCTGACATCCGGTAGAACACATTGGAAATTATATATATAATGTCAAGATTTAAAACAAGGCAGCAAAAGAAACAAAAAAGTCAGTTTCCTAAAGAAGCAAAGCTTTGAAATTGAAACTGCCATTTCTTTATAAAGAAAATGGGCTTCATTGATAGATGTGACTATAATCTGAATGACATAGATCTAGATCTACCTTACGGCCATCAAGTAGGGCAGTTTAAGTACAATTCCATCTGATAGAAGAAATAAATTACTTGGGTATTGGTATCACAACCACAAATAGAAAAGCAACCCTGTTTGGAGAAAAGTTATAATTAGAATCTATGTATGAACAAACATTATATCATGGCATAATACCAACATAAATATCTCTCTATATATATATATAAATATTAGCAAACAGCTGGGAGCACAACTGGACTTTTTTTTAGCATAACAAATCAATAAAAGAAAAGCGATGTTAAGATAGTACAACAGAAAAAGAATTACCTACAGCTGTAATTTTCAAACAGTAGAGTCAATTTATACTTTCATTGTACAAACAGCACTGCATTAGTATAGCATACTTTAAAGCTAAATTATTGGAGAAAAACAAAGAATACTATAGAATCATGGTCAAAATCGTTTAAGAAAGCCACCAATTTTTTAGGATAAAATTGGTTGTCTTAGACAAGTGGATGTCTAAGACTGTCTTTACAATATTATATAAATAACAGAATGGGGGGGAGTGGATAGGGGTCATTTGTTCGGATCTAAACAGATGGCCATTAAATGAAGCAAGTTTTACAGTACATCTAGGCCTACTCTTTCCTCTCTTGATGAAAGACATTGGATATGCCTGATTGGAACAGACTATACATAAAAAGTAAAACGTGTGAAAAGAACATATTACATTAGCCGCTCATTTTACAATCAAGGCCAAAGGCAAGCATAAGGTCACACAGGTAGAAATAAATCAGGAAGAGCAGCGGAAGGGGAATTCATGTGGATCGGAAGTATAAGTAAAAATTTCATATTTATTTAAAGCAAAACATGCCAACATTTCAACTCATATATTTATTATGAAGCCACAACTGAAGGTAGATTGTGCAGAATAACCATCAAGTCCTGTCAACTGAAATGAACTTCAATATCACTTAGTTTTTATATGACTATGACAAGTAAGGCTTGAAAAAATATATCCCGATTCACGAAAGAATACACATACAAAAACACACTGTCATTAAATAGCAAAAACAAAAATAAACACAGTGAAGTGGAGCTTAGAAGAACTAATTCTTTTTCGCTTGAATGAACTGAGTAAGTAAAGAGAGACATGGTTCCTCAAGAAAAAGCTGCCTGGTGTTCCATACTGAACTTCTCTGCCAGGAAAAAGTTCTTTCATAAGTTACGCTGTCATGGGCTGTCATCATGAAGTGAGATCAACACTGAAACTAACACCATCCATCTCTGGATGGGGGAGGAAACAGTTACAGCCACCATGATCCGCCACCACACGGTCATAGTGGTTACCATTTGTGTTACACAGTGAGATGTAACATGGGTGATGGCTCACCTCAACCGAGTCTGTACTTAATGCAAACACGGGGCGAAAATGCAGCCACGAGTACTTGATGTTGCGGTGATTCGGTGTCAACATGTAGATGTCTCTTTGCAGCAAAGTGGCAGCTGCATAGATCTCACAGGTTGTGGCCCAGCTGTGATCCTCAGCCATTCGCATTACATGAGTCTGTTAAGAAGTAATTTAAAAAGATTCACTTTAAAATAGCTAAAAGCCGAAACAATGAAAGATGACCGCACTTTCTTAAGATCATTTACGAACTATATTCAGATGCAAGTCTTATACTAAAAGTTAAAAATCGATATAAATTGCTATCCAGTTTCATTTTTAATACAAGTATGATTGAGTCTGAGTGTGTATTTTATGGTTGGGATGGGTGAATACTATATATTTAAGTCAAGACAAGTGTACATGAAAAATAAAATTTACAACAACAAAATAAATTATGAGATCATCAAAAACACCCTGAAAATTCGGAATAGAGTTTTTAAAAAACCCTTTACATTTCAACAGAACTGTCATTCAGATTAAATCACAATTGAAAGAATGACAGAAGGTGTGTCTGAGATCAGTCTACAAGAGATTGATCAAATAAACCTATAAAACAACTCAGCTGAATATGTGTTTCATTTAAAGGAAAAGAGATGTGGAAATGAAAAATGAGAACTTTTCTTTTAGTCTGAATGTGTGTGTGTGTGTCTGTGTGAGTGTGCATGTGTGTGTGAGAGAGAGAGAAAGAGAGAGAGAGAGAGAAAGAGAGAGAGAGAGAGAGAGAGAGAGAGAGAGAGAGAGAGAGAGAGAGAGACAGACAGACAGACAGACAGACAGAAAGAGAGAGAAAAAGAGAGAGAGAGACAGACAGACAGACAGAGAAAAAAAAAAGGAGGGGGGGGGATAACACTGACACGTATAAATATACATCATTTCAATATGAATGTGATAGAATTCTGGTCAAGTCCACTAACAAATAACCCAGACAAAAAGGAAAAATTCAAATCTGTTCTCACCTGCACATCCTCTCCGTCCACAAACTGGGCAAATTTGTCCTTGTTGGTGGCAATCACGTCCACAATTAAGCTGCGTATCGTTTTGTGAAAGCGCTCACTGCCATACAGTTGCTTGCTCAGAGCCCGGAAGAAGCAGTTCCCATCACCTCGAATATAGTCAATTTGACGATTTTCCTGTGCAAGTTTGTCTTTCAAAATATCATACACAGGATAACTGGGTGCTGGATTGACCTCTTTCTCATCATCTTCTGTGCTTGTTTTGCTGACTGATGGCGATGGATCACTACTTGAACTGAATGGTTGGGACAGCTCAGATGGTTTCTCTACAGCACTAGAGACGTCAACTTCAATGTCATCAACTGAGATAGCGTTACTTATGGAACAGGAACTTGTCTCTCGGCTTAACCTTTCACTGTCTTTGTCATTCCCTGAACTGTTGTTACTTATGTTCATTTCATATGATTTATCTCTCAGAGTGTGTTTTGACCTTTCATCCCCCAACGTTTTGCTGTGTGTAAAGAGACTGCGCCGGGCACCTAGCGACTGAACGGACGACTTGTTAATGATGACATCCTCTTCAATCTTGATTGGAGAAACTGACACAGTACTATCCGAATCACAAACATTTCTACTGAATCTTCGGTGGCTGGATATACCAGGACAAGAGCGATCTGCTGAGGCAGATTTATAAATAATTGGCACCTCGACAGGTTCATCGTCTACGACAATAGGAGGTTCAGATTTTGACGAACTCGTTACCACTGATGGATTAATCCACTTTTTATTCGTATCTGGTGTTCTGCTCTCTGTTATGTGCTCAACCTTGATGGGGATGACCTTGCCGGGAGGACTTGGTGACCGAAGAGTTTCATACTTAGGGGAGGCCCATGATGGTCTGGACCAAGTAGGAGATGAAGGACTAGTCACTCGGTACCGTCGACGAGCTGGTCTTATGTCATCCCACATAGAATGGAAGAAACTTGAGGAGGGAGATGGAAACATGGGGTTGAGGAGTGCAGGGCCCCCAGCCATATCTGAAAGAATGGAGAAACAATTCATAACAAATGTAATAATCTTGACAAATTTCTCCACAAAACCGGTCAAAAGCTATATTTTTAGCAAACCAATAATTTTTAGCAAACCATGATGAAACAAGCAGTCTTGATGGGCTCATCACTGATCGAGTTAAGAAAAAAAGTGAAGAAACGGGGGCTACTGTATTCCATGAAGTTTCAAACAAAGATTCATTTTTTTAAAATATCTTTCACTGGTCTCGGCTATCACACACAGAACAAAAAGACAAGAATTTGCAAGCACCTTGTAAACCTAATGTTTACCTTACTCTTGGATTCGGCAAAACAAAATCTACGCTATACATACACACTGTTTTCATTTTTTCTCTCCTGTTTTTTTACTGAGCCATGCAGACAATCAGATACAACACTTTCACAGGTAAGAAAATTAATTATTAAAGAGGTCTTTTTTAAGCCTGTTCAACTATCTTCACGCTGCCATGACACATAAAAGTAAAAATAACATGGACACATTTCTTTACATATTTTGCCTTTGCATAAATTTTTTCAACAAAAACACATAATATTAGACATAGGGAACTCTATTTCTCCGAAAGCTCGGGAAAATAAACTTGAACTCTATTTCTCCAAATAGTTTACGCTCCGGAGATTTGTTGGTTATTTGCGAATGGAGTGGCCCGTGTGTGTGTGTGTGTGTGTGAGTGTGTAAGATGTGAGTGGGGGGATTTTTGTTTGTTTACACTGAGGATTTTAGTCTTTACTTTAAGGGAGATTAAATGCTAAATAAGTTACTGTCAAAGTCAAGCAGTCTTGTTTTCTCGCAGTACCTTTTGAAGGCAGTAATTTCAAATGAAGTATAGTCCGGGAACATTGCCCCAACCGCAATTTAAGTATCTAAAATATATTCAAACATTAAAAAATCTCTAGAATCTAGCTCTAGAAATTGAATTTGATGCAAAAAATGTTTCTCCGAAGTCCTCGCAGAATGGCAGAATGAAAGACGATGCCGAAATCTCTCAAATAACCAGAAAATCTGAGAAATAGAGGTCAAGTTTATTTTCCCAAGAGTTCGGAGAAATAGTCACTTCGTCAATGATACTGATACCCTTGACTACAAAAGACAGTGGGCTACTTCTTTCTATCCTATCCCATCATTGATCATTTCAATTTCATATTATTTACAGAGTACTAACATAACTAACTAACAACTAAGATTAAGTCTTCCCTTCAATGATCAGTGCCTTTCACAATTACGTACTTTGTCATTGTTGTCTTTCATGCCTTGAGACTGAGATAGGGCTATGCTATGATATGGCTATCTAATCAGTATTCATTCAGAATGAATGACATCTAATCTATGCATCAAAGTCAAAGAGACAAAATCATATTTTCCATTATTATAATAGTCTAGAATCTAATCTAGATCTAGATCTAGATCTCTAATAATATCTGATCGCAGGTAAGGTAAGTATTAGAAAGTAATAAAATATAGGCCTAGGCATACACTGCTGATCTAAAACTAAAAGTAAAAGTTAAAGAAAGTGGCTATTCTCACCCGCCCGGAAGTTCTCGCAAGATCAACTCCTCTCCTCTTCTCTCTCTCTCTGTCTCTTTCTGAATACTGTCTATCGGTGTGGACGATCAAATTGACCAAAACAAAGTTAAAACCTGATGTTAAAACACAAAAGTAAATTAATTTGGTTGTCTACAAAGATGCTACGGCTATTTAACTTTTCGAATCGAGCCGAACTACGCGGGTCGCCATTTTGTTTTGCCCGGAAATTCTCGCGTTACTCCTCTCTCTCTTTCTCTCTCTCTCTCCACTGCCCACAGACAAAATTGTACGCTTTCTGTAGGCTACAGTTGTAATGGAACGTTTGTTCACGGCACAGAATTCTACAATTTTTCTGTTATCACAGTGTAGAATTCTGTGGTTTAGGGTGAACGCAAAATTTGGTGAACGCGCACCGGGTGAGAATAGCCACAAGACTCGCCTGCACTATTCTCACTCCGGGTGAGAATAGAGGTGGCCAAAGTTAAAATGGGATGAAACCCGACACAATTGACACTCGGTCAATCCCATCATACATAGGCTCTACTGTAATATCTTGAACTAATCTAGATCTAGAATCAATGAATATATATGCCAATCATCAATGCCAATATCATTATCAGTATCTCAGTATCAGTAACAAACCTTCAAAAAAGGAATCTGCTAGTGAGGTGAATGCCAGGTCAGGATCAATATGAAGTCTGTGAGGAAATGTTCTCAATCTCCTCCTTGAATTTGAGTTGTTTTCAGGTGGTCGTCCCCTCTCAACAGACACCATTCTGGTGGGTGAAGTCGTTGTTTATAGTGATGATCTTGCTCCGCGATGAATCAATCGATCGTAATTCGTAGTGCTCAGTCAGGCACCGATGAATGCCAGCACGCCGCTTACTCACCTATCTATTTATGTCTTCCACCTGTAAGTGGACGTGTGATTCAATCAACATACACGAAGAAACTGACTGCCTTCAACCCCTCCTACAATTACACGAACTTGCTGAATGACTAACAATTCTTCCCAGATGACTCATGAACATTCTAGTTGCTTTGAGAGCTTTGCGAACCAACTCCCAATGTTTACATTTACTCGAGCACTGATTGGCTGGCGATCTTCGTTCTGGGAAGTGCGTCATCAAAAACAGTGTTGTGGTACGAGATGACCTCTTTGGAACAGCTGAAGTAGTAAATCAAGCCTAGCCTAGTTTTATCAGAGCTGTTTTATTTTGCTATCATCCGTCATCCACAACACATGATTCGAGGAATCTATTATTAGATCTTGTTTAGAGACGTTAAATTTTATCCAGCGTGTTCAATTAATCAATCGTATTTATCAGTATTACGTCCTTCAAAAATAGAACACTAACCCAAGCTTGGCATTGAGAATCAAAAAAGGGTATATAGGCCTGTACCTGTACGTGTACCAAGGAGTTGGCCTGAACATGTACCCAACAAAAATTTTACGAAAACTCATAGTAGTAGTCATAGTCTATAGGCTGTTCAAATAATATAAATTCTACACCTTTTATTTGAGATTCCGCCCCCTTTCTAACACTTTTCCTAACTTTGTCCCCCCCCCCCCCCCCCTTTTTTTTTCCAAAGAAAAAAAAAGCCGTATATATATTATTTTGTTTTTACGAGGGCAGGCCCAGAACAACATGTAGATAGTACTTAGGGAACCTAAACAAATGGGTAACAGGGAAAGATCCTGGAAACGTAACTTTTTTTAGAGCATCCGAGCAAAGAAATGATCATGGAGAACCATGATCGCCGATATGTCTGTCGCAGATCTGGCACTATGATGATGATGATGATAATAATAATAATAATAATAATGATAATAATAATAATAATAATAATAATAATAATAATAATAATAATAATAATAAGAGGCCTATGACATTATATCGTGCAAATCCGTGTTACAATATATAAAGTAATATATATAATCATTGTTCTATGCGCTTTACATAATATTCATTTAAAGAAAAACATGCAGGCACACATAGGCCTACTACTAATATTATTAAGTAAGCCTTTATACTTGCACTCTATATAAATCTAGATCTATCTAATATTACATACACACACACACACACACACACACACACACACACACACACACACACACACACACACACACACACACACACACACACACATATATATATATATATATATATATATATATATATATATATATATATATAGATAGATAGATAGATAGATAGATAGATAGATAGATAGATAGATAGATAGATAGATAGATAGATTTGTGAAAGTTCGTCACTTTGGCCGTGTAAACCTTCGGAACCACTTACTTTCGAATTTGACAAAATTAATGGTGGTTCAGAATCATATATAACGAGTGCACAGTTCTATTGAGGAGCTAGAAAGTCACTGTAGTTTAATTTTCAGTCTTTCATTAGTTTCGTTTAGATCTTATCTTGGGAAAGTCCGTCTTCTAAGATGCCATTGTAAACAAGTGAGGTTTCCGTTCAATAGCCGTGCGCACAGTTTCAACACCTTTGAAATTCTGGCGTGTACAACCACGAAAGCGGAATAGAGAATCAATCTATACTCTCGATCTAGGTCTATCTAGATCCAAACCTTCAAAACCTTCAAATTTGTTTGCATCTCTCGGGATATATTGTTCAATTCCAGTGGAGAGTAGATGTAGTAGACCAATGACTTTCAGTTGATGTTAATGCCCCGATCTGTCCTTTCAACGAAAGGGGGCCCAGCTAGTAATAAATGCAGTTTTACATTCACAACAAAATAACAAAGTAAAAAAAATTCAAGCAAAATATTGCATAGGCATGTCACTCTTTCTTACTAATAGGGAAAACATTTAGACTCATATATCAATGTCAAAAGCGCCTTATATGAAATTACAAATAAAACAAATTACAGTCGAATTCTGATAAAGTCAACACCTTGTGAGCGAAAAAAAAAGTGTAAGAGCTTTCATTCGTTCAAGACCCCCCCCCCCCCCCCCCCACCTTCTTTTTTTTTGGTCCTTACACTTTTGTTACAGGAGCCATTGACCCCCCATTTTCAGGTGTAAGATTATATTTGAACGTCCCCATTATAAAATTCACCTTTTCAGAGTCAGAGTACTGATCAATTTTGCGTCTTGAACTTGAAGTTGGGACCTCTCAGCAAGCTTGCCGGTGAAACACATAATAGATCGATAAACGTATGGTCTTGGAGGTTATTGTTTAAGTTTTGTGATAATAAGGGTATGGGAAGAGCCATCTATAATGTGTGTGTGTGTGTGTGTGTGTGTGTGTGTGTGTGTGTGTATTTTTTTATGTATATATATATATATACATATATATATATATATATATATATATATATACATGTATATATATAGTAGAAACGTTGTTGGCACGAAGGAAGTCCTCACATACCCACGCAATATTTGGACGAGTGTTGTCCTGCTTAATAATGCCAGCATTAGCGTTCAGGTATGGAACAACATGAGGCTGCACGATCTCATCCCTGTACCTGTCACCCGTCACTCTGTGCTGGCACCACTGGAGACGTTGTGCCACGTGGTGTGCGGTCAACACGTTACGTCGTACTGGTCATCGTGCAAAGAGTCATGTCTCCCTGAGACGATTACGGACTGTCTGATCAGAAATTTTTCCATGTCCAAGGATTTGAGCAGCTGTATGCGTTGCTGTTGTGGTTCGATCTCGAAGGTAGCGCACATGGATGTAACGATCCTGGGCCGCACTAGAGACCCTGGGTTGACCTTACCTAGGCCTGTCATTATCACTTTGAATGTTTTTGTATCGTGTCCATAATGCAGCAATGGTCGGTCTAAACACGTCAAAGTGCTTTGCACAACTTTATGAGTCACCCCTTCTTCCAATCGTCTGATTGCAGTATTGCGTTCAGCATCAGTCTACCTTGGCATCTTTCAATTGCTTGCTGTTGTGTTACATGGACTGTGTGAACCGTGATTATTGTGGCTTTTATACGGCAATGAGAGAGGTTACAGAATACTGTGCACGAGAAAATAGTCACGGCCGCAGTAAAAACTCGCCTTTACGGACGTTTTGATGTGTACTGCCCGTGATTATTTGTGTTTTGGCGACAACAGTTGATCCTTTTTACAAAACTCCGTCCCTAATATTTACAATTATTTTGCTTTGCGTTTCAAAATATATATTCAAAATTTACCAAGTGTCAAGTTTCTTTTTTTGAAGAGTAGGAATGTAATGATCAAAGGAACGTAACTGTTGACTGTGCCTGTTGTCCAGAAAAAGAGTGGATACGTGTACATTACTTGAGTTATGTCCCGTAGCCAGCAGCACGCCTGTGCAAAATATCCCGAGAACACTGCACACGCACGCAAAACGAGCTCTCAAAAAGGGCACTAATTTTTTGTTTTCACTTTCTGAATTCACCCACCAGAGATTTTGGGACTTCACGTGATACAGTTTTGACCAGATAACGGATTGCTGAAAAAAAACAACCTAACCAACAACAACAACAAAGAAACCATACGCATGGAAATAACAATTTTAAAAAATCACTGAGGCCAACCTATCAGTAACGCCCTGAACCAACTTCACGAAGACACTATAGAATCCCCATGACGATCAGCTGTTGTTTTGTTTTCTTTTGTCTGGTGTCTCTGGTAAGTATTATATTTTAAGGGTTCGCCCAATCCCTTTCATTATCATTGCCTTTCTCACCCAAGATAACGAACAAACACTTTCCACCTTTTCCTCCAATCACTTTGCCGCATGCTAATAATGGCAGACTGGATCTGGTTAAAATACTATTTTCTTAACTAAATGGTCAAGTAGATATCTACATGTTATATTATGTAATGTGCTTGTGCCGTGCCTTTCATTGATATCTGACTTAAAACTATAGAGCGGTAAAAGAAAGAAAAAAAATCGTGGCGCAACTTATCCTCAATTAACAGGTGAACCAGTGTCACAAATACTTTGCGCAGTAGTTTGTATTAACATGTCTTCAAAATTATTTTTCCACAACATTCGCGCCTGGATTTAAAAAAAACAACAACTTTTTGTCACGTAAATTCATATGAAATACTAAACCACAGTAACGTGGAAAGTGGGATTATTCCGCTGCTTCTACTACATGTATACTAGATCTAGAATCTAGATATATTTCCAGATCTAGAATCTCGATATCCAGCTCTGTTTGATTATATTTGGTGTGGTTATGTCCCCAACACGTTGAGTTCGTTTAAATCCACAAAATGTCTACTTCGTTGCATTGACGTTACTGGCGTTTTCAACATTTGGCGTGTATTTGGTGCGTATTTTTTTTAATAGAGCAAGACTCTAGATCTAGATAATGTAGATCTCTCCATATCTAGATGTGTATTTGGAGCACAGAATCCAAGACTGATTTGAAGTAGTTAGCAAGAACAGAAGTGCGGTTTGTGCTTTGCCGTGTGTGTGTGTGTGTGTGTGTGTGTGTGTGTGTGTGTGTGTGTGTGTGTGTGTGTGTGTGTGTGACTGATTTCTACTTCGTGTTTACAAAGCTGCTTCTACTGTTTCCAGATCTAGAATCTCGATGCAATACAGTGCGCATCTAACTCTCTTTGGATGTGTGCTTTACAGTGTCGATGGGGACTTCAGGTCAAACTTCATTATTTTGACTTTTTCTAGATATATTTGGTATAGTGATGTCCCCACCACGTTAAGTTTGTTTAAACCCACAAAATGTTCACTTCGTTGTATTTACGTTTTCAAAATGTGGAGCGTATTTTCTGCTTAGCTTTTTATAGAGCAAGGCTTTAGATCTAGATCTAGATCTCCATATCCTAGAATCTGGATGCATATGTCCGTCAGGTATGCCACCCCATAAACTGACACTGTGGAAAGACAGCATTGTCATGTTGCTGAGAATCTGGACCCCACAAACAGCCATTGCAACGGGACTCGATGTATGGTTCATCACTTTCATCAACATGCAATAGATGCTGTCGTTGTTCGCGGTTCAGTCAACATGCCGGAAAGAGACTTTTCATCCCAATGATTCCCCTCATGCCTTCAGACGACATTATTTCCCTTCCTTATGCGACGGAAA